TCTGCAGTCAGTGTCATTTTCCCTGACCTCATCCTTCTAATTTTCACAACATATACTTAAAGAAAAATAGTTGTGTTTATTTTTGTGGTTTTTAGATTAATAATGTTCATCAGGGAAAGGAGAAAGTCATACATTACCAAGAAACGCACAATTTGTAGCACCAGCCTTTGATAAATCTATTGCTACTCTGAAGCATTTTTTACTAACTGCTACTCACTTGATAAATGACCCAGAACATGCTGGTCCCGGTGTATGTTTATCTTAGAATACTCTAATTCTGTGGTGAAATATGATTACTTCTTTGGACACGCTCTAGTTGTTTATTGCCTTCCTGTCTCTAATAAAGTGCTCTCGCTTTCCAGCCTTTCAATAACTATTACTAGAGGGACCAGCGTCTTTTTATGCAGGCTCTACTTGATAAATGATCATGTCACAGCATCACTTAGAAGTTACTAAGAAATCACAAGTCATACACAGGGGATGTAACACTGGCAATAGCCTTCTCCCCTCCTAATACTGCCCATTATGAACTTGCATCTGAACAATGGAGTGTAATCCGTATTGGAAAAATTCTTAACTTGGGATCTTTAACTAGGACTTCAGACAGCAATTTGTCACCGGTTTGACTGCTTGTCATAATCTCTGTGGGAAAAGAAAATCTATATGTTGTACCCTGGCCATAGCTGAGACAGAAGGAAAATGAATCCATCTTTTCATGATGCTCTTCCAATAATCAATACAGGGCAGAGTTTGAATACATTAAAGTCATCATGATGATAAAGCTGTCTAAGTGGTAATTTGACAGTGTGACCATAAAACGTAGATGCAATGAAATTAAAGTGGTTCTAAGGGCATTTTTTTTATTAACATAAAAAAGAGGTTTATACTTGCTTGCTCTGTACAACAATATTGCACAATATTGAGGTCCCTTACCTCTTTTTTGACAGTCCCCCTTCGGTGCACTCCCCTCTTTCATCTTAAAAATGTCCCTTGTGCTATGTTTCTCCAACTTCTTTTTACAGGTACCCCTTGTGCCCCCAGCTATGTGCTGTGGGGGCACCCATTTAGACGTCTATAGACGCATACAGAGTAGATGGGTCATGCCACCCTGATCCCTCCTCAAAGGATTTGACTGACAGCAGCAAGAGCCAATGGCTCCCATTGCTCTCAGCGTAGCCTGTTGGAGGAGTAAGAGCAGAGAGAAAAGTTGCAGCTAGGCACAGTGCTGGACCAACAAAGGACTTGGCTAAGTGTTTGCGATGGGCATAGTTAGCGGGGTGTTTTTTAGTTTAATGCAAAGAATTCATTAAGGTAAAAAACACCTGGACTTTAGAACCACTTTAACTGGAATTTATACTTTTACATTTATTTATATAAAGTGTTGACCAGAATACAATCCTGTAGCCATAATAAGTCTGATAGTGACTGGAAGAATACATGGTTACATAAACAAACTGGACATTCTCTGCAAATGCTGGTCTGGAAAAAAAAGAAAAAAACTCTAGTCAAAGCTTTTGGTTTTTTTTATTTTGTTTATTGCGGAAAAGGCATAGAACCTCTGTCAGGGTTTTTTGCAATTAGCATCCCCTTTCCCTCAGCTCTTTTCCTAGTGATCACACAGGAAGTAAGGGCAATCTCCATCACAGGGATGATAAACATCTGGCTGAGGCTCTAACCCTTCCCTAATCTAGCCAAAACAAACCGCAAAGTTTTGATTGATGTCCCACTTTATACTTCTAGTCCTCCTGGATGGCTGCTTCGGTAGTTTTTTTTTAACTATTCCTCTATTAAATAGGAATATTGATGTAAATACACATATTGCCACTTGGAAGGTCCCTTAACATACACATGCTTTCTGTGGTTGAAAGAAAGCTTGAAGGTTGGGGAAGCCCAGCACCCAGTAGCACACCTCCTGCTAATTTCCACCATCTTGGAAATTAGGTTGTGTGCTACATTATCTTCAGTAGGTGCTGTTTCCTAATTTTACTATCAAGTGCAGGAGATGAAGGAGGGCTGTCTATACAACCAAGGTGTCTGCCAATACTAGAGGTGGGCACACTGCAGTGTGCCATGGCTCTGAGCTACCATCATCCAGAGTAAAGCTATGGTAAGGTAAGGGACCATTTTAAAAGGCAATACAGGTGAAACTCGAAAAATTAGAATATCGTGCAAAAGTTCATTTATTTCAGTAATGCAACTAAAAATTGAAACTTATATATGGAGATAGACTCATTACATGCAAAGCAAGATACTTCAAGCCGTGATTTGTCATAATTGTGATGATTATGGCTTACAGCTCATGAAAACCCCAAATCCACAATCTCAGAAAATTAGAATAGTACATGCAATCAATAATACAAGGATTGTACATAGAACAATATCGGACCTCTGAAAAGTATAAGCATATACGTATAAGGACCTTGGTTTCCAAATGAGATGCAAAAGTTGTTCTCATCAGAAAAGAGGAATTTGGACCGCTGAGCAACAGACCAGGTCTGTTTTTCTTTAGCCCAGGTAAGACGCTTCTGACGTTGTTTGTTGTTCAGGAGCGGCTTGACAAGAGGAATACGACATTTGAAGCCCATGTCCAGGATCCATCTGTGTGTGGTAGCTTTTGATGCACTGACTCCAGCCTCAGTCCACTCCTTGTGAAAGTCCCCAACACTTTTGAATGGCCTTTTCCTGACAATCCTCTCCAGGCTGCGGTCATCCCTGCTGCTTGTGCACCTTTTTCTTCCACACGTTTCCCTTCCACATAACTTTCTATTAATGTGCTTTGATACAGCACTTTGGGAACATCCAACTTCTTTTGCAATTACCTTTTGAGGCTTTCCTTCCTTATGGAGGGTGTCAATGATGGTTTTCTGCACAACTGTCAGGTCAGCAGTCTTTCCCATGATTGTGATTCCTACTGAACCAGACTGAGAGACCATTTAAAGGCTCAGGAACCCTTTGCAGGAGTTATGGCTTAATTAGCTGATTAGAGTGGGACACTTTGACCCTAGAATATTGCACCTTTTCACAATATTCTAATTTTCTGAGATTGTGGATTTGGGGTTTTCATGAGCTGTAAGCCATAATCATCACAATTATGACAAATCACAGCTTGAACTATCTTGCTTTGCACGTAATGAGTCTATCTCATATATTAGTTTCACCTTTTAACCTCCTTGGCGGTATTCCCGAGTGTAGCTCGGGGTAAAGTTTCTGTACCAAAAGCGGTAACCCCGAGCTACACTCGGGCTTACCATGCGGCGCTGCATAGGGAGTTCCTGCAGGGCTTACCTTGTCCTTCGCTCCTGCGATGTGTCCCCTGCAGCGTCCCCGGCCATCTCCTCCGGCTGATGCCGGCATCCGGCTTCTGTGTTCCGGTCCCTGTGACGTCAGGATGTACGGGCGCCGGCGGCGGGGAAAATTTGAAAATTTAAAAAAAATTTCATTTTTTTCAAAACGAATTTTACATTGTAAAACATTGCTGTTTCAACCTATTTCACATACATTTTGTCCCGAGTGCTTTGTCCTGTCCCCTGTCTGCATTTTGACTGTTCTTTCAGCCTGGAAACTTAGAAAAGTCCATGGCGTCCAAAAAGCGTCCCTTTAGGTCAAAAGCGGTTTTAGACCGGCTAGAGAACAGCGATAGTAAATTAGAACCACTTGCAGAATTGAGTGATAATGATTCGTGGAGAAATTCGTCATCAGACACTGAAAACAATTTTGCGACTTTGCTCAGTGATGTGCGAACTTGGCGCTATATTTCAAATTTCAGTGTTTTCGGTTTGATTATATTATTGAATTAAATGTATTATTATTATATTATTATTTTTTATGATTATTTATTAAATTATAATTTATGATTTTGTGTTTCAAATTTTATCATACCCCGGATGTTTACTAGACTCTTGTTCGGACAGATTTCAGTGAGTTATTCCTAAATATTACAGCCTACAATAAAAAAACTAAATATTTCCATGCAAAATAATGGTAAAGCTTTCAGCACCAAAAATCTGAAATAATCATACCGCCAGGGAGGTTAAGTTGCATTACTGAAATAAATGAACTTTTGCACGATATTCAAATTTTTCGAGTTTCACCTGTAAGTGCTGGATATTTAAAGATTATATGTATTTATTAAACATCCAGGGGAAAACCATAAGTGAAAGCTATGTGAAGTCCAGATCCAGTTCTCTAATCAGCAGTGCTGAGATATCCTGCCTTAAACTGAATAGATGATCCTTTCCTAACAACCTTTGTTCCTTTCCAGAGCTAGGCCTAGACATCCCTCTCAACCTTCCAAAGTGTCTGAAAAGTGTTAAACTCTCTTGATAAAGCTCTTTAAATCTACTTTTTAGGATAAAGGAATACAATTAGGTAATACAAGACATACAAAGCAAAATGAAAATGATATATTTTTGCATACTGGCTGTATGTAAAAACACTGTGGGAAGGAAAACTGTCTGTGTTGCCCAGAGCAATCAGCTACATTGCAACCATTTTGACTGGAGGGCAGAAAGGAAAAACGGGGATTTAATTATTATAGGTAGAATAGAATTTTTTTCTTCCCTTCAGTTTATACTGTTTCCAGAAAAATTGTATACTCCCTTATATCAATCTGCTCAATCCACCCCTACTATGGTAGGCATGTATACTCAAACACTACTGAACCCACTATCAGCAAGGTAGATAGAAAGAGAATGGCTGCCAGGTGGCAAATTGCTGCTTCTCTTTTTGGTTTCTCTCCACTAACCTCTTCTGTCTTATAACATTCATAGTCCTTCTTCTCCCTGATAAACTAATAGATGGAATGCTGCCTTCGCACAGACACAAATGTGACGAAAGGTAGGTTGCCAGGTATACTTGATTGCACTGTATGTCTTGTGCGAAATTTTCACACTCTTTCTTTCCATTATGTTTGATGAATCAATGGTTTCTAGTCAATATGAATACAAATACATTTATTGTCCATATAATGGACTTCTGAGTTTCTAGGAACTGATTATTACCTTAATATCTGTAAGATGATTGTCCATGGCCACAAGCTGAGTCAGATTTTCCAAGACTGCAAGCTCCTTCAGTTCATCAATATTGTTATTGCTAATATTCAGCACACAGAGAGACTTCTGTAGAGACAGAGTATGCACTTCAACAATAGTATTAGGAAAACGAAGGTAGATGAATTGTGCATGTATGTCCATAATGCAGAAAACCCCAGCACCAGAACTTTCTGAGGTAAACAGTGATATACCTGGCTGGATCATTTGTATCAAGTTTCTGTGAAGTCAAAACCTGTCTTCATGGCTTCATGATTACCAAGACGTTATCTAGAATTCTGTCAGATACGTATTACATATTTCCAAATATTTGGCTCCCTTTGGTTATTATCTCACCTCCATGGATCCAACAACATTTGCAATGCTTAAGGTTTACCTGGAGATTGGCTCTTGGCTTGGGCTATGGTCTTCATGCCTCCTTCTTCTCTCCATGTTCTTTCCCCCACCTTCCTACCTCCTTTGCCTTTCTTTCTAAGATCTCTTTTGTGTTCATCTTTGTAAAAGCTTTTTTTCCTTCTGAATTAAGTTGCTCCTCTCCAAATCTACCACAAATTTATTCCATTTTACCATTCAAGTGGATAGATACCCTTTTTACTTTTCATTCATCGTTAGGTTAGTATTTTGTTGGCTACAGTTCTAGGCTCTAAGATAGTGTAGACACTTTTTATCACTAATTTCTCATTTTTGAGCTGGGACCCAGCTGTCATGTTCTCAGATTCTGAAGATGTAACATCTCAGCTCTGATCCCCACACACTCGTTAGGGCCCTGTGCTTTTTTGTCTTTTTTTGTATTCCACCTGGGACAATGTTCTGTGCCTTTCTACTATAAGAAAAATCTTTGAAATTAAATTATTTGGATCAGTCCAATTTTGTACAAAACAAAAGGTCAGCCTTGACTGCTATCATCACAAAGTTCCCAGAGACATTATGATCAGCTGCAGATCAGGATATTTTGTAAGGATAAAGTTACAATTACCCAATGTTAATGGGAAAATTAGGAAACTACTATATATTCTAGTGTAGTTCATTTTAGTAATGAACAAAGAAAACATTTTGTCAAAGTGATTTTTTTTTTGTAGTAGATTTTTCATGGGATATAAATAGGAAATAGCAGAAGGAGGACAATACAGATGCAATGAAGACACCAAAGATGGAGCACAATTCCACCCACTGACACCAAAAATGAGGCATTATTCTTCCCACTGACACCGAATATGGGGCACTATTCTTGCCACTGACACCAACGATGGAGCTTTCTTCCTCCCACTGACAACGATGGGGAACTATTCCTCCCACTGTCACCAATGATGGGGCACTATTTTTCCACTGACACCAACAATGTGGCACTATTCCTTCCTACTGACACCAGAAATGGAGCACTATTCTTTCCACTGACAAAAATGATGGGGCATATTCTTCCCACTGACATCAATGATGGGGCACTATTCTTCCCACTGACATCAATGATGGTGCACTATGATTCCCACTGACACCAATGATGGGGTACTCTTCTTCCCACTGAGACCAATGACGGGGCACTATTCTTCCCACTGACACTAACAATGGGGCACTATTCCTCCCACTGACACCAACTATTTCTCCACCTAATACCAAAGATGGGGTATTGCTTAATCCCACGGTGCACAGTCTGCCACCCCCCCCCCAAAGTCCAAAGGACTTGGCCCTTTGTTTAAAAGGCTTGGAGACCCCTGATCTAAAGTGTAAGTTACAATACCTGTCATAATCCTTGTCACACACCATAAAAGTGTAGTAAGGCTTTATGATACAGACACATGCATTTAAGAAACTTGTACAAAGAGGGACAAAAAAAATCAATGTCAAATGTCATGCTACACATTTAAAACAAGCAAATATCATACATAGCTCGCTTTGTCTGTCTGACCTATTCAATGAGGTAAAGATAAACCCCTTACTGTTCTTTTGACAGTACATTTATATTTGGTTACTATAGGTTACTGCAGTTTGGACAACCTTGTGCTCTCTGCCTTGTAGAACAAGTGTGCACTATACAATCTGGATACTTACAGCTAGGGAATGGAGCGTTCGAGGATCAAACAGTAGCCTCTCTCCTTGTGGAATATGTTGACTCTCAATGTGCAGTTCTCTTAGTTCGTGAAGATCCTCTAAACCTTCAACCACAGTGAGATAATTGCCACCCAGGTACCTGCAGAAAAGTGTTTATTCCAAAATGTCACAACTCAATATATTCAAAGCTGGAAGGTGAAATGTTATGCAATGGTGCAACTTACAGCTTTTCAAGTCTCTTAAGCCCACTCAGGTTTTCTATGCTGGATATAAGGTTATTCTGGAGGTACAGGTGTGTTAGGTTTGTTGCAAATCCAAGATTTCCAATGCGACTGATGTTGTTATCATACAGGTATAAAACTGTGAGGTTTTTGCAAATAGATAGATCCTCCTGGAAAAGAAATGCAGCATCATAACTGCTCTTTTAGTAGGTAGTGATACAAATGGCACTAATACAATTTCCATGACATGATGTCAGCACTGCTTTATGCAGTATTGTACTGTAAGCCCTGCCGATGTGGTGACACACCCCCAGGAGGTGTGTCTATGGTAACCTGGGCTCACAGGAAGTGGATTGAAGCTGTCAATCCTGGAAGAGCATCGAGAGCTGCCACCAAAGCAGACAGGGAGCAGTGCCTTAAAAGAGTTGCGTTTCTCAGTTGAAGCTGATTTTAAACAGAGCAGATTTTTGATGGCCTGAACATTCAGAAAGGAATTATTTACATCCCTAATACACATCCAGTAACATCCCCTGGAAGCACTATATTCAAAGAAATGCAGTTTTAGGGGGGAAATCTGCACATCACAAAATAGCTGGCAATAGGTATTATGAAACTTTTCTAAGCCTGACTAGGGAGGGATCACTGAAAAATAATATGAAACGCAAAATAAGGTAGACTTAGTAAGGTCCTAACTTAAAGCCCAAATACAGGGGCCATCCTTTTACAAGCTTTAGAGAGGATACCTCTGTTGTGTAGTAATAGCATGCTGGATTTCTTCATACAGCTTCAAAAGATGTCTTTTAGATGCAACAGATAGAACAGCTCCAGGTATACTTTTGATCCCCCCACTGACATCTGCCTTCCAGGTATGATAAGTTGGGTGTACACTAGTAGAATTTTGAATGAAAATTCTCAGTTGGTCTTTCGAAAGTAGTTCAGGATTTTATTTGATTCTAACAATCCATTTTGGAATGAATGGACTTTACGGAACTAAAAACCACATACACTGTGAAGAAATTTGTACATTTGAGAAAAAATTTCCATTCTGTTCCCTCAAATTTTCTTATCACTGCATCTTATCACAGATGCAGTCCAGTCAATTTTGAATCTGTATCAAAAGCACATGCACTAGGTCCATGTATTCCAATGGCCCTAGTTCACACCAGTGTAGTGCATTCCAGTGCAGTCAACAAAAGTAGAACAAGCTGCTTTTTTTCTGTATGGAACACATATGTAACATGGCAAAATGCATCAAAAAACACACCAGAATGCACATGCCCTGAATTGAGAGGAAGAACAACAGAGAGGAAAAAAACCCCATCAAAAACACATTGGAAAGAATCAAAAATAGAAATGCATCTGGAACGTAGAAATGATGGTGTGAACCGGCCCTGGCCCCACTAACGATTAGAAAAACGAATGAACATGCTTACAATAAAGAAATGTCAAAGGAAATTCTACTAGTGTATACCCAGATATAGACACCATGCTTGTGTCATATCTCTGTTACTGTCTAGGCTGAGCCATTCAGAAAAGGGACCTGTGGTGACCCTGTGTGCATGTGTTTTGTGTATGGCCAAGTGTAGAAGGAGGTGAAGGCATGACCCCAGCACTGATGTCTGTTATAACTGCAATACTGTTCTCAGTGTGTGGGGATTAGGGACATCAGCAGATGCTGTATTATACCAACAGATGGAATGGCCAGTGACACTGGGAGAGGAAGTGAGGGGAATCTCCTTAATAAAGACACATACCAATGTAAAAACTAATAATAACACCTTGCATTCTACTGCAAGCTCGTATTTTATTGCTATATATCTGTGTATCGGAGAGATTTTTTTTCACTTTCAGTATTAATGATCATTTTCATTGGCAATCTTTTGTAACAGGAATGAAAATAATTTCGAAAGTTTCACATTAAGCTTTCTGGCAATGGAGCTTAGCATAGAACTTTTACTCATTGATTAGAGTTGTCCTTTATATCTAAGAACTACAAAATGTTCTTCGAGTTAGACAATTTTTTTACAAAGAGCAAAGTTTATGTTTTAAGGTTTGCAATCCCTCGATAAAAGCACTGCACGTCACCTGAAGTGTAATTTGGAGTCTCCTAAGACAATGTCTAACCTAGAAATAACAGGAAAAGTCTACTGACAGGGGTGAACAAGCCACAGTGAGCACACCAATTACCACTTAAAGTGTTGTTCTATTGTTTGAAGAAAGGAAAAAACTTCCAATGTTCAGGCGTCACCGTAATGCATTGTGAAGGCAGAGTGAAAGAGAGGTGTCTTGGGAACACAAGTCTGCAAGAACTATGAAGAGGAATCTGCACAAGCATATAAAGCCCACACATACATATGAAGGCTTGTATGCGCTGTACAATGAATGCATTTATACTAATGAAAAGTGTCCTTTTTTGTCTATTCCAATATGTCCATATTTCAGAGGCCCCACACTGTTTTCCTTTCATTTAAATAAAGTCATACAATGCACATTGCAATAAGGCAGAAATTCATTTTGAAAGGGCTCCCAACACACCACAAGAGATCCAGTGGTCTCCCAGAGCAGCATTACACACAGATGGTTCACCTCTGTATGCTGTTATGGGCTAAAATGCAGGTCTGTTCTGGTACATTGCCATGACATTCAATATTAATGGCACCTAAATGGACCACACCAAGTGCATTAGAGAAACAAATGAGTATTGCCACACGTTACTGCAACACAACCGACTAAATACACCCTTATAGATTTAAAACCATACGTGCATATTGGACATTTGCTGAAAATGGACATAAAAGCAGCTTCAGCGCAAGCTCATGCAAAGTGGGTTGCGATCATTCTGATTTTTGGATATCAAAGCAGATATTGGTTGGTCAGAGTATGGGGGAGTTGTTTTTTCTATATATAAAATTTGGTTACTTGTATCTTAGGTCAAAGCCAAATCAGAAAGCAAAGCATGGCGTCTTGCAAATGGAGGTAATAGTTTACTGGTGTTAATACTCAGGGTCTTGCTAAAATAAAGACCCTGAGTAAAATGTTTTGTAACGTTCTTGCATAAACATGAGTAAATGTTATATATGTGTATACTTGCGTAAAATTCTTTATCCTCTTCTAGTTGCCCAATGCATACATGCTAAAAGTGACAAGAAATTAGAATTGTATGTGTTATCTGCTTAAAGGATAATAAATACACATTTTTTTGCAGGTACAAAAATGTGCAATTATTATTTTTTGTTTCTGGAGTCTGTAAAGCATTACAGCGGCAATCAGCAGATCGTTGGTGCTGTGCAGGTCTCCTGCTGATCTGTCAGTATGTGTGCTTCCCCTGTCATAACAGGGAGTGGGGAGGAGTGGGGGCTGGTCAGTTCCTGAATATGGATGTAACATGTATCATGTTATGAAAGGAGAACTTATCCTTTAAGCACATTGTGTTTGTCTATTGTTGTGACTTAGATGAATATCAGATCACATTTTATGGCAAATTACTGCAGAAAACCAGTTAATTCCAAGGGGTTCACAAAGTTTTTTTGTTGCCACTACACAGTGGAGCAAAAAAGTATTTAGTCAGCCACCAATTGTGCAAGTTCTCCCACTTAAAAAGATGAGAGAGGCCTGTAATTGGCATCATAGGTAGACCTCAACTCATCTTCTGTACTGTGTCCGCAATCTCTGGTCACCTCCTGTACTGTGTCCGCAGTCTCTGGTCATCTGCTGTACTGTGTCCACAGTCTCTGGTCCATCTCCTTTACTATGTCCGCAGTCTCTGGTCATCTCCTGTAGTATGTCCGCAGTCTCTGGTCCATCTCCTGTACTGTGTCCGCAGTCTCTGGTCATCTCCTGTACTGTGTCCGCAGTCTCTGGCCATCTCCTGTACTGTGTCCGCAGTCTCTGGTCCTTCTGCTGTACTGTGTCCGCAGTCTTTGGTCATCTCTTGTACTGTCTGCAGTCTCTGGTCATCTCCTGTACTATGTCCGCAGTCTCTGGTCATCTCCTGTACTGTGTCTGCAGTCTCTGGTCATCTCCTGTACTGTGTCCACAGTCTCTGGTCCATCTCCTGTACTATGTCCATAGTCTCTGGTCATCTCCTGTAGTATGTCCGCAGTCTCTGGTCCATCTCCTGTACTGTGTCCGCAGTCTCTGGTCATCTCCTGTACTGTGTCCGCAGTCTCTGGTCATCTCCTGTACTGTGTCTGCAGTCTCTGGTCATCTCCTGTACTGTGTCCGCAGTCTCTGGTCCTTCTCCTGTACTGTGTCCGCAGTCTTTGGTCATCTCTTGTACTGTCTGCAGTCTCTGGTCATCTCCTGTACTATGTCCGCAGTCTCTGGTCATCTCCTGTACTGTGTCTGCAGTCTCTGGTCATCTCCTGTATTGTGTCTGCAGTCTCTGGTCCTTCTCCTGTACTGTGTCCGCAGTCTTTGGTCATCTCTTGTACTGTCTGCAGTCTCTGGTCATCTCCTGTACTGTGTCCGCAGTCTCTGGTCCTTCTCCTGTACTGTGTTTGCAGTCTTTGGTCATCTCTTGTACTGTCTGCAGTCTCTGGTCATCTCCTGTACTGTGTCCGCAGTGTTTGGTCACTTCCTGTACTATGTCTGCAGTTCATTGGTTCAGAATATTTTTTTTCTTGTTTTTCTCCTCTAAAACCTAGGCGCGTCTTATGGTCAGGTGCGTCTTATGGAGCGAAAAATACGGTAGGTATTTGCGTAATTTACTGCTTTGTACTCGTAGTCTGTATTATTGATTTTTACGTAGCTGTCCGGGATGTTCGATTCCTATCGCCCGATGCCTGGGAAAGGTAGTTCTGGGCATCGGGCAGGCAGTTTTTTTACCTTTCTACCATCGGGCAAGCAGAGGCCTCACCTGTCAGGTGGAAGCATTCGGGTGGCAGCCTGATTGCTTCCACTCTCTGCCATAAGCTAGAGGGGAGGGAGGAGAGCGGACACATCTGCTTCCCTCCTGTTCTTGTCTGACCCGGGAAGTGACGTTATGATGTCACTTCCGGGGCCCCGTTGAGAGATTCCCAGCCATGAAAGCCGGGAAAGAGTGTAACGCAGTGCCAGCCTCCCCCCCCCCCCATGAGTAAAAAAAAAACAAAAAGTCTCCATAAAAAATGGCTCCACACTTGCCCATCTGTGGGACCGGGACCGACCAGGATCTCTGCCATAAGCTAGAGGGGAGGGAGGAGAGCGTACACATCTGCTTCCCCTGCAAAATTTAAGGTCAAGTGTTATTTACTCGATGTCCTGACCCCTAAGTGACGTTATGATGTCTATTTTTATTCTCTAGGGTCTCTGCTTTCAGAAAATAAATCATGTTTGGGGGTTTTATGTCATTCAGGGCTAAAATGATTTTTTAAACGTGTGCAAAAAATGGCTCTGGCAGTGAAAGGGATAAAGGATAAGCCCTGACCCACCCTTTCCTAAGGAGCAGCCAATCAGTGCTCATTACACTGCAAGGTCTCTCCCCTCCCTGCTAGTCCCCGGGTGCGGTGCTGGAGAGAGGCAGGGAGGGGAGGAGATACACAGCGCAATGTTAAAAATATTAAATGTTTAATTCGCCATAAAGCCCCTTTTGTTTTTAAAAGCCCCAGACATTCCTAAAATCACCTCCGATCTAAACACAGTTTTGTTAAAATTTATATATTTTTTTATTTGGACAAGTATATTGTCATGAGGGACAAGAAGACTGGGGCACCGATTCAGTCCCTGGACAAGCAGTTTTTTAAAAAATTGCCCCTGGTGCATTGTTCCATAGACAAGGTTGCACCCCTGTTCAGATCAGTAAAAAATGTGGCATTTTTTTACTCTAGTGTGCAAGAAGCCTATAAGGAAAGAGATAACATTTCTAATTTCTAGAAGGTCATTTTTTTCCTTTTTATTTTTTCTAAAGTACCCTGATATGGCATCTTTGCCCAACTTGCCTCATGCTAATGTGAACTACACACCACCTTTCTGTATTCTGAGCTATACATTTCCTACTGCACTCCGCCTCATTCTGAACACTGCTGCAAGTTCTATATTCTGCAACGAGTCATTCCGACTCATTCTGCTTGATTTATATAAGGCACTCCACTTAACAGCAGTTTCTCAACCTTTTTTTCAGTCAAGGCACCCTTATTATTATTATTATACAGGATTTATATAGTGCCAACAGTTTGCTCAGCACTTTACAATATAAGGGGAGACAATACAGCAACAATAAAATTCAATACAAGAGGGTTAAGAGGGCCTGATCCTTGGAGCTTACAATCTAAGACTTAAAATTCTGCACAATCTCAAGAATCCCCATTCTGAAATGTAAAAATCTAAACCAATACTTTTAAATAATCTACCAGCATCCACATGTGTAGGACACCCAAATTAGAGGTGATCTATTTTACAAATATACCTTTGCACACTGGTAATTAATGTATTCTCTTCTACCTCAGTTTCTCTCCCTCATTCAGCTAATGTTACCCCAGTACTGATGGAGAAAAGCAAGGGAGAGCAAACAAGGACACCCTTAGGTGTCTGATGTTGTCAGGAATGGACTTGCCAATAGTGGTGGGACTCACCTGCCTTGTGGGCTGCAGTACCAGGGCTGGCCAGCGGGTACTCTCAACAACCAGAGGTTCACTTCGGCAATTAGCCATCACCTGGGGCTGATTGCAGGTGTATTTAAGGGATGGCCAGACCTGCAGTCTGTGCCTTGGTGTGTGTTTTTCCATGGGCCCCTGTACCTTGTAACCTGCATTCCTGTTCCTGTTTCTGCCTGACTTGCTGCCGACCCTGCCTGATCCTGACCTCTGCTGACTTCTCCTGTTTGATCCCTGGCTTGTGACAGTGACCATTCTCTCCGCCTGCTCCTCCTGTACCTACCTGCCCGATAGTTATCGACCCGGCCTGCCTGACTACATTGTGCTCTATATGTGTATGTACCTGTGTATCTATACCAGTTTAGGTTTGGGTTTGTTTCACCTTGTTGTATGTATTTGTGTTAGCTTGGGGTTTGGTGTGCACTGCGTTTATATTTGTATTGTTAGTCTTAATAAATTGTCTTATTTATACCATATCTGAAGCCTGCGTTTCCCTGTGTCAGTCCACACATCTCTGGTCACAACCGCATCCCTGACAGATGTCCTCCTTATCAACCTATGATGTCTTGGTGTTAGGATGCCAGCGGCTGGCCTGGATGGTGCCTAAGGTGGTAATGCTACAAAATGAAAACCTGTGGCTCTGTGTAACAAAAAAAGACAGGCTTGATCCAGTTACTTTTTTTTTTTTAGACAATTTTAAGGCATCTCTGAAGAACCCCGAAGGCACCCCAGTTGAAAAAGTCTACTCTACAGTCATTAAGGCAAATAAACATGGTTTATTTTTAAGGTACTGCTGTTCCAAGTAGGGATGCACTGAAATTTCGGAGGATGAAACGTTTCGGCCTAAAACACCCCTTTTGGCCAACAGCCAATATAAAAAAAAGCACCAATACAGTTTACGAAAAAACCCCGCCCCTCGCCTACCATCGCCGCCGCCGCTGCTTGGTAGTTCTCACTCTTACCTGAGAAACCATTGAACGATCCTGATGCTGGGCATAGAGATTAGTGAAGGAAATTTCACCAGTTCCGGCCATTTTTTTTTTTTTTAAAAGCATTGGATCAATGCTTTTTTTTGATCCAATGCTTGACATTGCAGAGGAGAGATGTGGGATTCTACTGACCCCATATCTCTCTATAAAGAGGACCTGTCACTAATTATTTCTATCACAAGGGATGAATGCATTTCTTGTGATAAGAATAAAAGTGATTAAAAATTTTTTTTAAAGGGACAGTGCAAAAAAACCCCCAAACTATTAAATAAATAATAAAATAAAAGTTTAAAGTGGCCCCGTGCTCGCACATAGTGGTGAACGCATATGTAGGCCATGCCCACATAAGTAAATGGTGTTCAAACCACACAAGTGAGGTATTGCCACGAACCTCCGAGCAAGAGCAATAATTCTAGCACTAGAACTCCTCTGTAACTTTACACTGCTAACCTGTAGAAATTTTTAAAGCATTATCCATGGAGATTTTGAAGTACCGTAGTTTCACGCCATTCCATGAGCGTGCGCAATTTTAAACCGTGACATGTTGGGTATCTATTTACAAAAAAAAAAAGTGGTATATATTGTTTTTTTTGTTTTTTAAATCAAAGTGTATTTTTTTCCAAAAAATATATATTAATTTTTAAAAAACTGCGCATTTCAATTTTAGTTTTCGGCCAAGTGCATTTTGAATTTTCAGCTTCGGCACCAGAATTTCCATTTCGGTGCACCACTAGTTCCAAGTATCATGCACATTTAGTTGTGATTGATGCATACAGTAGTAACAGATACAACTGCAGCTTGTGTATGGATGCATGGCACCATGAAAGTCATATTTCAGAAAAAGCATAAGGTCCCTTTCACATATGCGATCCAGTCAGGTCCACCTGTCTGTTTTTCAGGCAGAGCCTGATCAGAAGGTCCATGCACTCCTATGGACAGGGGGGTGTCAACTAAACTTGTGTCCGTAGGTATTGGGGTGTAAACATACAGTGAAGTTCATTTACTCCCGGCCGCCCATACAGTAGAGCGGGCTCTGTCCATGTTCACTCTGCACAAACTGAATGGACATAGACCTGTCATCTGCCCGCTCTGTTCCAACCAGCAGTGGATCTGTGAGCTAATCCTCTGCTGATCGGAATGGAGTCTACCTGTCTGAAAGGAAAATATAACTATAGTTTCTATTCACAACACAGTGGTACTTACAACATTGTCAATGCTTTTATTTGAATAATTCAGATGAGTGACCCTCTTCAGGTACTGGGCCACGGACTCATCTTTTCGGCTACGCAGGTGACTGCTTGTTCTCGCAATCAAATCAACTGACAATCGCACCATCGTTGCCTGAAGGGTTTAATAGCTTGAAGAGTACGATTCTCTAGGATGTATCCTTTATCATTTTCCTGAAGAGACATAAACATGAACACATGTAACTGTTTTGCTTTTGTTTTTACCTTTGCCTGTTGTGTTTATGGATATAATATATGATAATCACAAATAATCCTCGCTTGCCAAAAAAATATTAAAAGTAACACCAAAACAGTGAATCTACAGTAAAATTAAACAAAATAAATTGTTGCTGTAAGTGCCTGACATGTTTCCACATCAAAAAGTCTTGCATGGTCGCAAAAAACAACAACTGAAAAATAACCTATATGTGTACAGTCATAACATACCCACATCACCTATGTGTATAACAATGAATAAAATAAATACATTAAATATCCCCTGGTAATTCAGGGATACATCAAATATATAGACATTTACAATACAAATATTAGATAAAATATTAGTAATAAAGTCCTTATAGAACTACAAAAAAAAATATCTACGGTGCTCCAGGTTTGTGCTAGCAAAGTAATGTCCACACTTAAATAATAAAAGACCTGCTCCCAGTCTCCACATGCTGCAGCACCACCATGTGCATCCACCTGTCAATGCTGACGCTTACCTCCACCAACTGACCAACTAAAAGTTATGTCAAAAACAGCCTTCCCAATTTCTTGGGTAGTAATTGTCCTCTCCTCACGATCTTATGTCAGTAGATCTCATAAAAGCCAATACGGTAGAGCAAAGAATGGAAATCCCTCGTAATGTAGTACCCCAAGGAATAGATTTTTTCATATAAATAATCAACTATACTCACAAATACAGTGCACTGATCCAGTGCACGAGAATCATCGCCTGTTTCATAAAATACAAGTTGCCCTCTTAAGGGAAAACATCCATCCAAAGTACAGCAAGTAAAATGGCCGACCTTGTGCTGCCGGCGTGATGATGTCATGTAACCACGTCCTGACGCATTTCGTCACGAACAGTGTGACTTCCTCATAGGATATATAATCATATAATGCAGGCGTACCTCGGTTTATGAATTTAATGCATTCGGCGGGATTTTTTGGTTTGCAAAAAATTTGTAAACCGAAATGTGGTTTCCCATAGGGATGCATTGAAAACAGTTAATACATTTCGAAGGTCAGAAAAATGTAAAAAAAAAAAGTATTTTATCTGTTCAAAACTCATTATAAAGTGCACTTTAACCGGCTCCCACCCGCCAGATAAGGAAATGATGGACGGGCGGTGGCTCTCTTGTTCTGAGAGGATGTTATATGATGTCCTCCTACTCTAACCGCGCATCTACACTGATCATCAGGGCACTGATGATCAGTGTAGCCCCATCAGTGCCACCTGTCAGTGTCCATCAATGCCACCTGTAAGTGCACATCAATGCCACCTGTCAGTGCCCATCAGTACACATCAATGCCACATATCAGTGCCTACCAGTGGACATCAATGCCACACATCAGTGCCCATTTGAGCTGCCTTTCAGTGCCAACTATCAGTGCCAGTCAGTGCCACCTGAGTGCTGCCAGTCAGTGCCAGTCAGTGCTGCCTAACAGTGCAAGACAGTGCCACCGAACAGTGCTAGTCAGTGCTGCCTGACAGTGCCGCCTATCAGTGCCATATATGAGTACTGACTTTCAGTGCCCATCAGTGATATCTGTCAATGCCTATCAGTGCCACCTACCAATGCCTCCTCATCAGTGCCTATCAGTGCCACCTAATAGTGCAGCCTATCAGTGACCATCACTGCAGCCTTGTTAGCGCACATCAATAAAGGAGAAAAATGACTAATTTACAATTTATAACAGACACTAAGAAAAAAACTTGTTTTTTTCACAATTTTCAGTTGTTTTTGGTTTGTTTAGCAAAAAATAAAAAAACCCAGTGGTGATTAATTACCACCAAAAGAAAGCTCTATCTGTCTCAAAAAAATTATAAAAATTTCATATGGGTACAATGTTGCATGACCACGCAATTGTCATTCAAAGTGCAACAGCGCTGAAAGCTGAAAATTGGCCTGGGCAGGAAGGGGGTGAAAGTGCCCGGTACACAAGTGGTTAAAGGCATAAATACTGTACAGGGACATGATTAAAATCAATTTGTAAATGCACTGAAAACCGATCAATCCGTTCCGGAGGTCAGAAAAAGGTCAAAAAAAGTCTTATCTTTTCAAAACTCTTTATAAAGTGCACTGTACAGGGACATGATTAAAAAAAAATTGTAAATGCATTGAAAACCAATTAATCTGTTCGTATTGCGAAAAAAACCCCAAAAAAACGAGGCATTACTTTCAATGGATTTCCATTCATAAATCGAAAATGACAGTAACCGAGGCGTTCGTAAGCCGAGGTACGCCTATTTATGTCTTTTTACATTAAAAAATGCATTTGTATCATGTCTGGGCTCACATTTATAAACCGCATCTTACATTTTAAAATGTGTTGTTTAATTGGATGCCTATCACTGTGCTCTATGTAAACCACTCTGCACTTATGCATGCAGGAGTTTGGGGTCACAATGTCATAGGGCACCACAGAGATCTGAACTACAACATTGCTGATAGCAGTACATAATTATTATTATAAAGGATTTCTATGGCGCCAACAGTTTGCTCAGCACTTTACAAAATGAAGGCAGACATTACAGTTACAATACAATTTGGTACAAGAGGAAACAGAGGGCCCTGCTCATTAGAGCTTACAATCTAGGAGACCACATAACAATGATGCTTGTTCACATACAGTGGGAAGGTTCAGTAAATTCCACTAAAATGCATTTTTTTGCTCTCTGGGTTAGATATTCTTTAAAATTAAAAAAAAAAATGTCCTCCTGTCTTCTTACTCCATGCTCCAATGGTCCTGACATCATCAAGACCAATGTTTTTTTCCATAGCCCTGCATGATGAGGGGCACAGTCCACTGCACAGTCCATTGCTAAAGCACTGGGGAGAACCATCTTCCAGGGGAGTGGAGGATCAGATCCATTAAAGTGCTTCTCTTCTCTCCTTTACAAAATGAGCAATTAACACTTGTAGGGTAGGCACAGCCCCACAGCAATGGGGAATTTTAAAGATTCCCAGAGTTGGGCTTTAAAGCGGACCTTCACATTTAAATAAATGTGATGTGATCAATGTGATGCTGCCCTGCCTCCTTCCCCCTCCCCCTCTCACAATTATCAATGGAATTTTGTTTTTTACATTTATTTGTGTTGTAAAGCGGAATTTCCTTATTTCTCACCTAGGCTACAATGTGTTTGTCCCGTCCTCTGCATGCACGCAGATGTGCTCATACATCTGAAAGCTATCTTGTTCTTTTGAAAAACAAAAACTTACTGGCTGAATCACCAGATGAAAATAGAAGAAAAGCCTGAGGCTCCATGCACACCAGTGTTTTTTAAGCTCAAAAAATGCTGGGAAAACACTCCAAAAAACTCTACAAAAACAATTTTTTTTTCTGCTCCAAGATGCTGAAGCTCAAAAAACACTAATAGCCTAAAGTAGTGTGAATGGGCACATAGGAGAACACTATGTAGCTTGTAGGAGCAGAAAACAAAAATGCTAATAACAGCTTCTAGGAGCATAAAGTGGAGTTCCACCCAAAAGTAGAAGCTCTGCTTGTTTGCCTCCTCCCCCCTCCACTGTCATATTTGGCACCTTTGGGGGGGGGGGGGGGTAGTGGATACCTGGTTTTGACAGGTACCCACTCCCATATCCGGCTCAGTTCGCTGCAGTGAAGTGAGCCAGAAGTTTGGCACCCTCTTTCTTCCCAAAGTCTTCTGGGAACCTTGGAATGTGCAGCGCAACGCATGCATGCATCCAGGTGCCCACAGCTAAGATGCCGGCGCCACTGGGGTGAGCAGAGGGAGAGAAGAGACGGTGCGGGTGAGCATGTCGCTTGACCCTGGGGCAGGTAAGTGTGTTATTAAAAGTCAGCAGCTACAGTAGCTGCTGTTTTTTAATAAACAGAAAAACGGCTGGAACTTTAAAAAAAGCGCTAGTGTGTATGAAACCTAAAACAACAAAACTAATGCAGCTATCACATCTAAGAACTGGTAAGCTGCAATATAATAAATATTTGCTTTTGGGTTTAATACAGCTTTAATCTTAGACTACATGTACACTGGAACCTTTACTCTACTGGCAGCAGAAAAACGCTAACACAGTACTATGTTTAGATGCATTTAGCCGCGTTTAGCGCTTGGGCGTTTATTCATTTCATTGATCAGAGTACTTGCTATTGAAATGAATAAATGCCCAAGTGCTAAACGCATTTGACATTTTTTGGCCAAAACATTCCTCTCCTGAACGCATTTCTTCTACATTCAGAAGAGGGATGTCTAACTGTCCCTAGACTCTGATATAGGCCTACGTGTACATGGACAAATAGGCTTTTATTGAGTGGCGTTCAGGGGCTTTGAAAAAAAAAAAAAAACGCCAAAAGCTCAGAAACTTCCGTTTAGGAGCAGCAGTGTACAGGAGGCCTGGATTGCCAACAGGGTTCTTTCCTGTTAGGGCCAATTCACACTGAATAAAGCGTGTTCATGTGGGATTCTTGCGCTGTGTCATGTGGTCTGTTTTGACAGCCCATTCATTTGAAATGGCTGCAGAATGCACTCGAACACGGGAAAAGTCGTGCAAGGGCTGCTGTTTTCAGAACGCGCTGCACCAAATTGCATGGTACTGCAGTAACGTGTTTTGGTGGCTGCATTTGTGAGATGCATTCGGGCGCCATTACTGTCTATGACATCATCCTGCAGGTCGCAGAGGCAAGAGCATGCACCTTCAGTGTGGGAAGCGTGCGCAGAATGCACCTCAGGTGTGGACCAGGCCTTAGAACAGTAAATTGTGGACCCCCCCCACCCTAGAAGTGGTGATGACAACGTCAATAAACTTTCTGATGTCTTCCACAGGAAGTAGAATATAGAGAATAGACATGCTATGGGAACACAGCAGACACAACTGGATGGTCCGGAATCTTCTTCAGCCTCATCATACA